TCGTCCCCTCCGTCTACCCCCCCTCCAGGTTCTGAGCGATGATGTACGCTGTCAAGTCCGATCATTGTCCACGCTGAGTCAGATGTTGGTATTACAGTTGTCCGCTGTGCTACTTTTGTATTGACTCTGAGAGGTCGGCTCTCGATTCTGATCGGTGCCGATTAGGCATGCGACAGTTTGGTATCGGAGCCAACCTCAACGAGAGAAGTTCTGCTCAACAAGTTGTCACTTTGGATCTCAAGCGAGAAGTAATCAAGTATTGATGAAGAGGCAACGATTGATTGATTGATCGAACATCAATCAAACATACACTGACTGCTTGATTGATTGATTGGTTGATCTATTCTTGATCAGTTGATTAGTAAATAGATTTTTTTTATTTTTTTTTTCAAGTAAGCTATATTCTTCTCTCATCTATCTCATATTCTGTGTCTTTTTCTTGGTAGTACGCATCTATCTCATCCTCTCACTAGTCTATTTATAGTACGGGGGAACACCAACCAACCCGGATCTCTCCCCAGCCCACGGGGTAGGTTTGCACCACAGCTGTGGTGCGAGAGCAAGGCTGTACCAGCCCCTCATCACGGTGACGAGGGGTGGGCAGGCATTGCCGATGCGGGAAATCGGCGGTGCTAGTGCCGAGCAATGGCCAGTCACTGCACCTCCCCCTACACCCCCCCCCAACCCCACATGGCGGTGTCTAATGGCCAGTATTGTTGCTGCATAGCAGCCAACAACATCATCCAAGGGGATTGAACCCACGACCTCCTGAATGCAACAACATCCGTGGGTTCAATCCCCCAACGGGTTATCTATAGCTGGTAGAACACCAAGCTTGCCCAGGCACGTCCTTCAGGCCAATGGGGATTGAACCCACGACCTCCTGAATGCAACTTCTGAGCCTTACCAAATTCGCTAATTGATAGTCTTCTAATTCATCAAACTTGAATGATTTTTGTTTTTTTCTTTCTGTTTAGTTCTGGATCTGCAAATTTCACGAATTCCGCAATTTTCGGAATTCAGCGATTTTTGGAAATTTCGCGATTATTGGAAATCCGCAGACTCTGGAGTTTCTGCGATTTCGGGAATTTAGGGATTGAAGTAATAACAAAATTACTAATTAGGGTTATTTACTTAGTAGTATTAGTACATTGGTTCTAATTCGGGACTTACTTCCATTTGTCCTAATTAGAACTAAAAGTGCGATTTTCACCCATCACTACCCTAATATTGGGCACCTAATTGCTGTTTTCCTCAATTCTGTAACTAACAGGAAACTTCTCTGAACCGTCAACTAGAAGTTCCTGAATTGCGCTAATTTTCGATAAGTCTCCGAGGGGAGAAACTTTCACCTGCCTAACTTAACTATTTTTGACACTGCAATCAAGCCTGGAATATTTTTTTCTTCTTTCTAAAATTCAGCACTTACCAGCAGGACAGTCTGATCTGATTAGCAGACTGCTCCTCGGTCGGGACCAACCACCCCGTTCTGCCATTGCCCAAATAAAATAAAAATGTTTGTCAATCTGCAAAAGGGGGGCATTGCCAATTGTTTTGCTTGATTAGGGCAGGGATTGGGGGTCTTGCATGCTGGTGTGTGTCTGAACCCTCCCTCCCTCCCTTGTTCTCCCACGGCTTGGTAAGTGCCATGTCAGCAGCAGAGTGCCACGTCAGCATGGCCGCACCGGCCCTGGGGATGCCAGGCCAACTCGCCGCCTTCCGTGCGCGTATGCTGGCAGAGATTGAGGCTGAGGAACTACGGCAGGCCGCGGCCGAGGCTGCCCGTGTACAGGCTGAGGCTGATGCAGCCCAGCAGCAGCGCCAAGCAGCAGCCGATGCAGAAGCCCAAGCCCGCCACAAGGAAGCCCGGGAGCTGTTACTGCGGCACGAGGCAGCAGCCGCCAAAGGACTCAAAGTTTTGGCACTTTGAGCCTTCCGACGGACACGAGGACGCGACACGAGGACGCAAGATGAGAGGAGGAACATCAGGAAATCCACGCTAGAGCCCAGAGATGCAAAGTCCAACTTGGTGCAGCTTAGAAATTCCAGCGAATTATCATATTAAACAGTTTCAGAGTTCTAGTCGCCAGCGCTCATCAGTGCAGAGTTCAGCAACCCATAACCAGCATCCTCGCCCAAGGTAGGTGACTCTCT